CCCCAAAACCCCAAAACCCCAAAACCCCGTGAATGAAAATTCGTGTTTTAAAATAGGAATTATAATTAAATATATTAAAGTTTCATTCAAAGATGGTCAAATCCTAATTAACAAAGGCATTTTTTGAAATTAACTATGACCTTGTGTATAATAATAACTTTAGAGCTCCATTCTTTATGTTTTTAATTGCAATGAATATCTTTATGATATTAATTTTACCACTGGAGTATCTTAGCCAGAATAATGGACAACTAAATGCTATTGAAAATTTGATTCTCAATAAAAATTAAGCGGCATTGATCATTTTACTGATAGTTATTTGTAGCTGTCAAACTATTTCTCTTTTGATTTATATTGCTAGAGTAATTTAGTATTTCCTTTTTCTGAAGTGAAAAGGCTCGATAATTCTTAATTCCGATCAATCTGTTTCGAATGAATTTCATGATACTAAATATATTCATTCTATAATGATGGCTCTGCTTTTAATAAGTTCATATTTATTTGCATTTCCAGGGAGGATTATATGTTTTAAAATTATGTTCATGGTTGCTGCTACTAACTACGAGCCATAAGCTATTGTAATATTTTTAATGATTGTATTTTTCATTTTTGATTTTGGACACATAATCTTTCAGCATTTTGCAATGTATTCATTTTTTCCTTTGAAAAATGTCCCACTAGCACGATTTAATAACAGAAATGCTCTTGTTGAAATTACTTATTTATATGGCTACTCTTTGTGCTATGGATTCAGCTAAACTAATTAAGTAGCTCCTTGGATGTTTGGCTTATTGTCGTGCTTTATAATATTATCCTTTATTTAATGCCCTTGCTGGTATAATAAGACTATCAATCACTTGAAATATTTGAAATAGTCTGCCGTTTTGATGTCTTCAATTATATTTTCAGTTGGGTATAGCAAGACCGAGATTTCTAAACCTCAATTAGTAATCTTCTTGCTCTTAATCACAATATCGTTAGCAGCTTTTAAATATTACTATGTAAATCTTAGAATTATATCGATATTCGAAAATCCTTTTAGGATTACTAATTATTAAGGAGCGTTACTCTGGATCTGGTCTTTAGAACAAATGATGGAAATAGGGGAACATGTAACAGAAGATGAACTTTAATCTCATATGATTCTCATGAAAGTCATCATAAAATCTCATTTTGTAGCTTGTAAAGATGTTGAATGTCTGTGCCATTAAAAGAGAATGCGTAAGATTTTAAAAATAAGTCCAAAAGAATAAGCAAATATGAATAATTTCATGCGAATCAAAGTAGCCTTCATTACTATTGCATTAACAAAATTTATATCGAATTCCCTTCATTATGATAATTCGGTCAGAACTAACAATAATATAGGGCTATATTTAATCTAGCAGCAAATGAAGTCTAAAAATAGTACTTACTAAGCAATATATAACCTATAAAAGTTTCATGATTGCAGATACTGCTAAATCGGCGATTGCTTTTAGTAATATATATTAAGAAAAATAGCTGACTAAGAAGTTCATTAAAGATAAATAATTAACGATGATATTTAGAAGTATTAGCAAATCATTACCTATGAAATATACCTAAAAGGATATCTTGAAGTTTTGAATAAAATATCTGTGGATGTGGGTGAATTCTGGGCGCTAGTTTAGAAAAATGAAATTGACATCTACAAAAGCCAGATAATTGGAGAAGGTATAATACAGAAGTATCAAAGATTTTAATCAATTTATGAAAATTTTGCAAAATCAGGATCAGATAACATTTAAATTGAGAGTTTGGCTTGGAAACTTAACCAAGAAATCCTTTAATTTGAATAAGAGGCCCAACAAAATTTAGAGAGGATCAAGACAAGCTCAAACAAAAGGCGAGTAGAAATAAAATTAAGCAATAATAACGAGGTTTTTGTAGAAAGTAAAATTCACCTATTAGTAATAAGTGCTAATCCCTAAAACTTTTAAAAGATAATGAACTTCAGTAAATCATTTTCTAAGTTTTCAGGGTATGCTGATGATTTTTTACTTAGAAATAAAGTAACACTAGTCTTGCCCAAAATTTTAGATGAATAGCATGAAAAAATAATAAAAAAATATTTAAAGAGGAGAAAAGAATTAGATAATAATAAGATTACTTTAAGTTAGTCATGGCTTAAGAAACCTAATGGAACTTTAGTTCCAGTTCAAATTAGTGTCATTTCAAAAATAGATGTTGATTTAGGATTGTAGATGATTGGTCTCATATAGAAGGTAAAGAAGATAAACTTGTTTGACTAAAATATTCCATCAACCGATATCTATTGCATTCTAACTGATGTTAATAATCGGATCATTCATGTATCTGAAAACTGTTCAAACAATATAAATTTTCCAGCAGATGTTACACTCTATGACATATTTATCTCGAATATTATAAAGGGTCTGCCAGATTAGATAGAAAATAACTCAGATTTGGAACTATTAATGGATACTTCTGATTTGTAAACATACCAAAACAATTCAAATCTATCAATCCTACAGTTTAAGATAAAACTATCGTATAAAGAATACAATTATGGAAAAGACAATGTTCTTCGTGAGTATTTATTTGTGATATTAGCACCACATGATGTTAATGGTACAGAAAGTTTAAAACTTAACTCATTGCTCTAAAACCAGAATTTTCAAATTGTTTAATTTTCAGAGGATCAGTAAAATCAAAATCAAGAGGGATAGAATGAGTAAATTGATGAAACTGAAAGTGAGTTATTTTAAATATAATCAATGTCATCTACAAGTTCGGGCTCATCAAATGTAAGCAATCAAGATGCGCAAGTTTGCGATATTAAGAATGTTTTAGACTTTAAAAGCTTTCCTTAATCCTTAAGAAGTTATAGAATAAAACTCATTGCCTCTTTTATAATGCTTCTAGTGACAGCTATAGTTCTGTTAGTAGTTAATATTTAATCAAAGAATTAATACGAAGCAGATATTTAAACTTTGAAAACAGAAAAAAATGTTAGAAATGCTTTTTCTAGCTCTAAACTATCTCTCATATATCTTTACACAACTTCAAATGCACCAAGTTATTTTGATTAGTAAAGATTAAGCGCTCCATTGAACAATGTTTCTTTGGATCCTTTTTTCAGATAAAAATTAATTTCTTTGACAGGTGAACTTCATTAATCATTAAATGAGTTCAGCTAAAAATAGGCTCTATGGGATAAAGATTTTGTATACAAAGTGAATAAGGAAGATTTAAAAGCTAAAAAGATAACATTCTATGGAAATTAACAAGAAGTTGATTCAACCTTTTTCAAATCTATTACTCTCTTTGTGGATTATTGTGACTTCATTAGCAACACTTACAGTGACGATCTTAAAATTTAAGATGACATATTCAAATATAACAATGCAGATGAGCTTGCTAGTTTACTTAAGAAAATAAAAGATCCCTTAAACACAATAATTCAATATGTGTTCTTCTGTATATTTAATGGCTCAGATGTTTTACTAAGACAAATGCTGAAAATTGATGAAAGTTTTATAATGTTAATTCAAAATCATGGTAATGATCTGATCAGAGTGATATTGATCTTTACAATATGCTGCTGCTGTGTAACTGCAATAATTTCGTTTTTGTAAATCCCATATTACTTTGCAATAGAAACTGCTTAAAAATTTACAGTAGAATTTCTTTATCTTACTGATAAGCAACTAATAAAATAATACTTTACAAGAATAAAAGATTTTCAAATTTAGCTAATCAATAATGGTAGTGATGGAGATGATGAAAAGAAGAAATCTATGGCATAGGTCTCACTCAATAAATCATTAACTAATAAAAGAAGAATAGCAATTCATGGTTTTACTGTAAATAATGAGGAAGAATTCAAGACTTAAGATATAAAGCCACTGGAGAATACTTAAATTTACAGTTCTATATAATAATTTTAAACTAAGAACAATCTTTTTGAAAGGTCATAGCCAGTGTTCATTGAGAATGAACCAGATGTTAAAGATCTAAATTTGAAATATAAGCATACTCAAAACCAGGCATATCTTCCTAAGAAGTTTTAAAAGAAGTAACTATCTTAAAAATTAAATGCATTGCTTGAAGATAGCTCTAATGAAAATGAAGGTTAAGACTAGAATCCTGGTGAACAAACTGTAAATCTCTCAGATTTAAATTAAACTCATCTAAGTTTAAATTCACTAAATGACTAAGATTATGATATAAAACTCTTGCAAAGCTAAACAAACAGAAAAAAGATAATTATCATAATAATATTCTTTCTTATTGGAGCTTTTATAGCTACATTTTATATAGTTACTTACGTGATGAGTAGAACTATTTTGAATGATTTTTCAATAGGATTCTACTAATATGATGTATTCTTTACAAGAGTAACTTGTTTGACAGAAAGTCTATTTTTCACTCAAAAGAGCATATTATTTAATGATACAATGGGAGATGATACATTCAATGGAAAATAACTATCTTTGGTATTGAATGAGTGTTCAACTAATGAGTAAAAATATAGAGAAATAAAGAAGGATTCATCAGGAATGTTTTAAGGTTTATCCAAAGAACTTGAGTAGCTAGATTCTCCAAAATTTTGTCAATTTCAACAGTCTAAAGGAGAGATGGGTCCAGAGTGCTAAAAAGAAGTTGATGGTTTTCTGAATCTTGGACTTGAATAGATGATAAGCGCAATGCTAAACCACATATAGCAAAAAAGAATTACATTTATTTCAGTCCCTAGGATAAATAGAACAGAAGCATTATTGAGTAAAACCTTTTTCGAAAAAGATACTTTATAGTATGTTATGATCTACTATTAATACTTGGAGAAAGTATTTTACTATATACAAAACACAGCTCATCAAAGACTCTCAGACCAAATGTCTGTGAACTTCAACGCAATTGTTTCAGTTTTTATAGTTTATATCCTGCTTGTGATTTTTCTAGCAATTCTGGCAATATTTAGGCTCGTCGATAATTTGCGATTGAAATTACTCAAAATAAGAATGCTTTTGAAACTAATGCCATCAATAGAGATTTATAAAAATAAAGATAAGCTAGAAAAATTAGATACAAAATTGCTATGATAATATTAAATTTACTTATTTATCCAAATTATTAAAAAAAATGACACTAAGGGGTTTTGGGGTTTTGGGG